GTTTCTAAGACTGCATTAGAAAGAATAGGAATAGAAAGCCCCACTTTTCTCCAGTGGAGCAGCTGGGAGTCTCAAACTGTTGACCTAGAAGTTAGCAGCCCATTTGTAACTACTATACCACTGGGGCTCAGAGGGTAAATATGATCACTGGAAAAAAATAAATAATCAGTTTATGAATCCTCTTTGCCGATGCACATTTCCACATGTATTCCTTACCTAAGTGGTATGGCTACAAGCAGTTGTCTTCTTAAGATAGATTCTTTTATTCCTTTATTTACTGTGGTGCTGTGGATGGAAAGGTAGGGAGCTTGAAACTACCAGCTACTCTATAGAAAGGAGATGAGTCTATCTTCACCCAGAAAGATTTATAGTCTCAGGAACACAACTGGATTGCTATAAGGTGGAATCCACTCAATCGCTGGGGGCCGGATTGCTTAGTGAAAACAGAATCTCTTGTACTTCAGTCATAAAATAATGGCGTGCTTAGGATCTACTCTTATGGCTCCCTCTAGAATTTATAGTCCTTCTTTTGAAATCCATAGGGAACTCCTTCCTATGCACAAAGGCAGTTGTTACTGGGGATATGTTCACTGATAAAATGCAGCCAAACGATGCCTCCAGAAAATTCCAAGCCACCAACAGGAAATAGTTTAGGTATGTTTAGACTTATCAAATAGAGCTTTGACAACGTTGTTAAAAGTAGAAATAACATGTATGCTTTGTAGAAGTGTTAATGCATCCATAGACAGACATATGAAGCTAGATCTTGGCATTTGCTAAAGGATGGAGTCGAATGCTCTCAAATTCAATCTCAGTCTCACAACTTGGCTCAAACCTGGGAGCTGACGAAGTTGATAAAACCAGAGCACCTTCACACGAGCCTCATGGATTTCGGCCCAGAAATCCTTCTGTCCTGGGTTGAGGCCTGGTGGCATAGTGTGTTGAAAGTTGGGTTGCTAACTATAAGGTGAGCAGTTCAAATCCACCAGCTTCTCTGAGTGAGAACGATGAGGCTTTCTACTCCTGTAAACAGTTACAGTCTGAGAAACCCACAGGGGCAGTTTTACCCTATCTGAAAGGGTCACTATCAGTTGGAATCAATTCAACGGCAGTTGAGTGTTTACAAGGTCATCCGATGCAATAATATCAACTACTACTAAGAAACTTACTGTTGTTTTCTGCAAAAATCCTTATTACAGGCATCAATTCGAAGAGCACTTTTGGCTTTGACTCGGTAAGTTTCATGTTCCTTTTGTCCCAGCCAGCCCCTTCAAGGTATAAGCCATAGACATAGACTCCCTCAGTCGGAGAAGCAGAGATGTCATCCTTCATCCACTTGGTGACCTCGTTGCAAAGCACTAGATTGTCCAGAGCCCAGCCTTTGTTGGCTCGAGTTATTTCCTATTGAGGCAAGAGCGAAAACAAAGGATGAAGGGTGAAGTTCAGAGATTGTCTTGCTATGAGGATGATAACATTGATGAAAAGGTGGTCACAGATGACCCCAACCCAAAAGCATGAGACTAATATTTAAAGATTTCAAAAACAGTCCCCCATGAACAATATCCAGGTCTGAATTTAACCACTTGCATTTTTAAAAGAAATAGGATGTATAGTACAGTGTACCTGTGAGAGCCAGAACTTGCATCAAGAGGCCCAGTCACCAGCGAAGAGCAGCTCTTCTCCCTAAGACAAGGATATAGGACCGCGCCCTGTCCAAGGCAGAAAACTGGGAGACCTGGATAAACGGAGGCTTCTAGCCTTCACAGCTGTCTTACAAATAACACTATGAGGTTAAAGCTAGTAGTCTGAGCACAAGTTGCTAGATTTATGCTCATGACAGCGTAACTACTAGTGCCAAGAAGTGACAGTCATTCTATGCCTAATTATATGTTTCAAGGCTATAATGAAAGACGAAAACCTTAGCGAAGAAAGCGATAATAACACAAGGGTGCAAATCAGAAACAATTACCTGGCGCATTGCAGTTAGAAATCCTTGGGGGTTGAAAAAGCCCGTCATCCAGAAGCAGTGGGGTCTGCCGCTGAAAACCCAACACGTGAACTGCCCGTTCCTTTCCAGGAGTTCCGTGAACCAGAAACCCAGTGTACTTGAGACCCAAGAGGCCTGGAAGGCAGACAACAAAATGATTGGTTACTGTAGGCTCAATGCTGCTGCCCACGGACGGTATCATAGTTTCCCGCACTTGTTTGGATCGCTGCCCCCTTTTCAGAAAAAAAAAATGTATATATATATATACACACACACACACATATATATTACTTGCCACCCCAGGCAATTAAAAATGTGTGTAGTATAACTCATAATCCAAGATAAAATAGAGGCATCTGCTTCTGAAGCCGTCCTGGTTCCCGCACCCTCACCCCCCCCACCCCCCGTGGGGCGATGACACCCACTTTGGGAAATACTGGGCTATATTCATAGAAAACTGATGGGAAAGCCAGTTTACAGTTGGAATGTTAACATCTCTAAGGCATGAGTTCTCCTGATGCGATGACATTTATAGTTTTCGCATTGTTCTTCCTCCTTAATCATCTTTATGCTATGAAAATAAGCTCCACTCACAGCTCGTCGTCGCATGAACCAGACCCATGGCCGTGGAGCTTATCTCAACTCACGGCTGCCCCATGCATGACTGAGGACAACGGCTCCAGTGGGGTTTGTGGTTTGTAATTTTTCAGAAGCAGATCACCAGGTCTTTCTTCCACAGCACAGCTGAGTGGGTTCAAACCACCCATGGTTATCTCAGTCAAGAACAACTCCTGTGCGATAGCCAGTGACCTATCATGTAAGCACCAGGTCGGTATGAAGACCAGATCAGTATGCTCTTCATACGTGCACCAAGAGGTACAAACATGGCGACCAGTGGGAGGCTGCCAGTGGATCAGGGAGGGTTTTGTCTTGTGGTGCGTAGGGTCAGGATCTCTATGAGGCAGAACTGACATCTCCTAACAAACATGCAGTGCTATAGGTCTGATCTATAGGATTATCTTTCACAAGCAAATGGATACATCATTGCTTGTGTATTTATTGAAATTCAGCCCCAAGGGCTCACTGCTCCCGAGTCTATTCTAACTCACCAGGACACTATGGGACAGAGTAACATCTCTCCTTAGGGTTTCTAAGATGCTGAGTCTTTACAAAAGCAGACAGCTTGCCCTTTCTTCTGAGGAGTGACTTGTGGATTTGAATTTACAGGCTGGCCTCGAACAACCCAGTGCTTCACTCACTGCGACTACCAGGTCTCCTTTAAATGCAACAGGTTTCTGCTATTTCTCCTGTGCAACAGACTCGTGGCCTCATCAGGATAAATCATCATCACTGTAAAGTATATGATAATGTGGGAGAAAGATGGGGCTTTCTACTACTGTGAAGAGTTGCAGTCTCAGCCATTCATTGGCACCATTCTCCTCTTTCCCATGAGGTCACTAGCCGTCAGTTTGGACTACATGGCAGTGAGATGGGTAGGTAAGGAGACAAAACCAAAAAGCAACTCACTTCCCTGGAGTTGATGCCAAATAACAATGACCCTACAGGACAGGGTAGAACTGTCCCTGGGTGGTTCAGAGACTGTCAGTCTTTACAGGAGTAGAAAGCTCCATCTTTCCCCTCAGAAGAGTTGGTGGTTTTCAACTGCTCACCTTGTGGTGAACAGTCCAATGAGTCAGCATTATGCGGCTAGGCCTCCTGGGAAAGCAGACAGCAGATAGTAACTAGAGCTTTAGTAGCCCTGTCGGGTAAGCACTGGACTGTTAACCACAAGGTTGATGGTTCAAAACCACCAGTCTCCTCTGGAGAAAGATAAGGATCTCTGCTCCGGTAAAAATGTACAGCCTTGGAAACGTAGGACTCGACTTGAGGGCAGTGGGTTTAGATATGGGGGTTGGTGGAGAGCAAGTCATAGACAACTGCCTCCACCTACCATTTTAATGAGGTCAACATGGTTATTTTCTGGAGTTCTTGACCCGTAGGCAGTGCTTTTATTTCCTCTACTGGAAAAATATGGAATTTGAAGTCTCTTAAAAATCAAAAAATACCACTAGCATCAAGTCAATTCCTACGGAGAATGACCTACCATGGAGTGTCTGAGGCTGCAAATTTTGCTTTAATTATTTTCTCTTATTTTATCATTTTATTGGGGGCTTGAGCAACTCTTATCACAATCCATACCGCCATCCATTGTGTCAAGCACATTTGTACATTTGTT